TCTCCCTCATAAATCAAGTGATGGCAAACTTTTAGAGCTTTCAATAACAACTCACAAAAGCATGTGTGCCACAGATTTGCCACCACAGTATATACTAATAGTAATATAATATTTGAGAGCCAGCAAGATGATAGCTCAGCAGACTAAGTGCCTGCTAAGCCAAGTGCAGGGACGCAGTTCCATCCCAGGCACCACTATCAGTGCTAGCCCCGCCCCCAGGGTGAGTTGAGTGGGCTGTGGTGGCATACGCCTGTAATCCGAGTGCTGGGGAGGCTGAAAACAGGAGGATCACTACGAGTCCAAGCTGCATAGTGAAGCCCTGTATCTAATACATTAAAAACCACACACACACACACACACACACACACACACACACACTCTGTCTACATCCATCCAAATCCATAATGTTAAAGAACTGAGTTTAAAGGCTGGCCAGATAGCTCAGCAGATTAAAGCACCTGCTTAGGCAGGCACAAGGACTGGGGCTCAATCCCAGGTGGGTCATTCCGGCCCCACCCCTGGGGCACACTGAGGCCATTGAGACTGGGCATAGTGACGCGTGTCTGTAATCCCAGCACTTGGGAGGCTGAAAACAGGATGATCATTACAAGTCCAATCTCCATAGTGAGACCTTGTACTAAATACATTAAAAAAAAAAAAAGAACTAAGTTTAAAACTTGTATTATAGATCAATATATTTGTATGTTTTCCTTTTTTAAGGATAGTTATTATTAAAATTAGTAAAATATAATATTTTACAAAATGGATAAAATGTAAATATGTTAACTAAATGAATACTATAAAAATATTTGAAAGAAACTTAAGGAAAACCTTATATATAGACTTCTATTTTTCAGTCACAGAAAACTCTGAAGAAATTAGAAAAAAACAATTTGAGAAAAAAAGCTATTCTACTACTTTAATATACACCTTAATTTGGTAGCAATTTTCCCACACTTATATAGTGTTTCCTGTCCCATGAGATACACTCACAAACACACACATTAAGACAATGAAAATACTGTTATTTTCCCTGTGCACATTCTGAATAACCTGAGCAGATTTCACATAACCCATCTGTGACTGAAAATTTAAGAACTAAAAGAAACATTACCATAAAAATATTCAGACTCCTTAAAGGTCAAACTATCCCAATCTGACATTTTGAGAGTTTGGGATAAAGTAATTTCTATTCCCCTGAAATAATAAAGTAGTAAGCTTTTTAAAAAATGTCTAATTATTACAATTGTTCTATTCTGAGTCAGGAAGCAAAATGTAGTCTGTTTCAGAAAAAGAGAAATAAAGTAAAAAAAACAGGAGGTAGATAACGATAAAGTAACCTGAATAATCACAAAGGTAAGCAATGATAGTTTCTCTGCTTTTTGAGATATATTTTTGTTCAATCATTTAAATAGTATGTTTTCCACAAAATGAAAGGATTAATCCAGGTTTCCAAGGCTTCTTTTAGTTCTACTATCCTATTTATGATCAACCACACCGTTTATTAGTTATTTCAAACCATCGCCCTAAATCACTTTACATATAATGTAAGGGCTTTCATAAGCTTCACTTTAAAATACTGATTAAGTCATGTTAAAAACTTAAGCTACATTTATAACATCTGAGATATACTTCCAGCATTCATATTTTATAGACAGACTGCTTTAATACAGAACGTTTACATACAAAAGGTTACATGTTTACATATAAAAGGCTGATACATAAATTTATCAACAGGCTGATTTTAAACCACAGATTAAATCAATAAAATTGCCACTATTATCACATCAGTTGATGGCCTGTGTTTCTTCAATTGCAATTCCCAATCATCATTTTAGAGACTTACCGTTTCAAATGTTTAAAAAGCAAAATATGCCAGGATTCCTTCAAAGAAATATCTAGACTAGCTCATTTTGTAATCGGTTAGACATGTAATTTTTAAAACCATTAATGTATTTTAGCATATCCTAGATACATGCTACCAATACAGAATTATTTTAATGAAAACAGCATTGATTCATAAGCAAAAGAAAGTAATTATTCACCAAAAAAAAAAGGGCAAAAAAGTCTAGTACTCACTGGCTAAATTCTTATTTATTACTATTATTTTATCAGTTAGGCACACAAATAATGACCATTTAGCTGTTCTGCCCCGAGAATCCTAGCTTGTTCCCTTCTTGTTTCTGCCATGGTTATTTGTATTTTAAAATTAAAAAAGCATTCTGGATATTACTCCATTACCACCAAAATATATAATGCAAGAAGATATCTGTAAGAAAAAATACCGTTGCAGCAGCAATGCCACTACCTCCCCTTACCCTCTGTACCTTTTAATACAATAATAACCTTCTAATTTTTGGTTTAAAAACAGGATTAGCCACAATAGTAATTATGCTGTTATCTGATTATTTGCAGATACCATAATAAATCAAAAATACGAAAGCATATGTGAAATCTCAAAATTCCTTTTATGTAGCTGTTCCTTAGGTCAATAATTATCAAAATCTCTAGTGCCTTCAAGTGCTCAGATTGTTCATTCTCCTGACGTCCCTACCTTCCTTCGCTGTAGCTGCTCTTTGCCTTGAGGGTGTCACCAGCTCCTTTACAATCTGCAAGACTTGAATCATTGCTAGTTAACAAGCCAAAGACTCCAGCTGTTCCCACAGAGCTCCAACAGGTTTCATCATCTAGGCTTATGGCACTTCAGCTTTCTGAAACCTCAGGCAAGAACACAGTTCAACTTCAGAGAAGCGTATGCTTTGCTTAGCTATCCATGAAGGCTCAGAAACAGTTAGCAAGCAGCAACAAAATGACAGGTTCTATCTTCTTGAAATGATGGATTCAAAGTCATTTCAGCACATTTGAAAAACTCATCCTCCAAGTCCAAAATATGTTACTTTGCAAAACATTAACTGCTAATAAAACACAACATGAGTAATCTTCTGTAAATTATTGAGCACATTAAAAACACTGTCTCACAAAAGCTACAACAGAACAGAAAAGAATGAAGCGCTATGCTATAAATTCTCATATAGGGGATCACAGACGCTACGTGCAAATTTTTAAATAGAAACCAAAATACCCTGCACTGTCAAAAGCCTTAATACTTTTTTACAGTTTCTCAAAAACCTCATATTTGAAACAGAAAATGTGGGTAAAAATAAAAATCTATCTTGCTAACTCCAAGCTCTCAAATTTGCATAAAGATATGGTACCTCAAAAACAACCTATAAATTCCTCATCGTCCTCCTCACACACGCCCCTTGACATCTCAGGACAGGAACAGGTGCTACATCCACAGGCACACTAAAAATTTGAAAAGTAGTTTGTGTAAAACTACTGGTCTTAATGCCAAAAGAATGGACCAGTAAATTTTTAAAAAACTTAACAAGTGCTTTTCATATGGTTTTTACAGTAGAGTTACACCAATCAGACATTTAATACCTTCGTTGCATGATATATAGATATATAGATATATATCACTTACCAGCCTTCTCAAAGAAAATCTATAGTTAACTAGACATAAGTGGTACTCAGGTTAACTTGGTTAAACGTTATGTTTACTGAGTTATTCTCCAGCAAAACCTTTTCCCCTTTACAGAGTCACCAACTTTCCTATTTTTCTTTCATTTCCACTTACTACTTTTACATTTTTAAAATATCGAAAAATAATGGATCCCAGAACAAATTAAAGGCAGTTCCTAGGGCTGGTGAAACAGCTCAGTGGACTAAGTGCCTGCTTAGGCAAGCACAGGGACCAGGATTCCATCCTTGGCAGCACATGCCGGCTGGCCTCAAACCCAGGTGCACTGAGCCGGCAACCAAGTCCAGGAAAGGTGGCACATGCCTGTAATCCCAGAACTGGGAGGTTTGAAAACAGGAGGATCACTATGAGTCCAAGCTGCGTAGTGAGATCCTGCACAAAATACAAGAAAGAAAGAGGAGGGAGGGAGGGAGGGGGTTCTTTTACCTTCAGACAAGTCTTATTTGTTTTCCCATTTCTCAATTGGACAACTGAGGTACAGAAATCAACCAAGGTTAGACATAAAATAGTGGTACATGCCCACAATCCCACTCTTGAGAGGCTGTAAACAGGCGGATCACTACGAGTGGGATCTAGTAGTGAGCTATGAACACCCTGTAGACCCTTGCCTAAAAATACAAAAAAAAAGAACTTAAGATCTATTATGTGTATGTACCAGCTTCACAGAAAATACATAAACCTTTGGTACAATAACCATATGCTAACAATAGTATCAAAAATATTAAACTGGAAATAATCTCAGTATCTATCAGCAGTGGATAGAAAAAAAAAAAACTAAATAGTATTTGCTCTCCTAAAGGAATCTTTTTCTGCCATAAAATAAATATTTATTAAAAAAGACATAAAATAATGTTATGCTTGCTCTATCACCAAGATGCCTCTATAGTTCTAAAATTCAGGGTGAAGTTTTCAGCTCTTTAGAGAAGAGGTGTTACATGTTCATATATATCCACTCATAATGTATTCACCATATGGGTGTTAATTTAAGAGATGAGTGCTGCAAACAAATCCACGACGCCAAGAAAATACTTGTAAAAGAAGGACAAGTGAGGCCGAGCCCAACTACTTATTATCTTTAATTGACAGCATTCTACATGGCAAATTAAGAGTTCAGATAGGTCAAAGACCGAATTTCAAACCTTAAAACTAAACTGTGATCTTTAACAAATGCTTTTGAAAACTGGATATAGACAAATACATCCCACACCTTAATTCAAGTTTCCTCAATCTTTTTAGCCTTCACGCCATTTCCTAAAGCAGTTCAGAACTTGTTGGTTTTTGCTTTTTTGAGAGAGGGTCTTTACTTTGTTACCCAGGTTGGCCTTGAATTCACTTCGTAGTCCAGACTGGCTTCCAAATCAAGAGATCCTTCAGCCTCAGCCTCCCAAGTCCTAGGATTACAGGTGTGTGTCATCATACTCAGCTTTAGAAATTGTAATAGATATTAAATACTTACTGTCTTTATCTTGACATTTTTCTAGCTCCTGGGAAATTCTCTCTTCTGGAAAAAAAATTTAAAGGTACTGTTTTTGAAAGGTAACTTTCTTTTGGGAGTTAAGAGAGTGGGGCTCGAATCCAGGGCCTTGGGCCTAAGCAAGGACTCTACCTCTGACCTACCTCCTATCCTGAAAGCTATCCTTCTGTTAGCTTTGCTTTCTAGCAGTGTTCTTTGTGCTCTTTCCATGCAAAGAAGAGAATATGCAGGACATAATCCTTCAATCAACCCTATCCTCTACATCTGGCCAGTGAAGAAGAGATCTCAATTCATTCTCTGCAAACTTCAGTTATACTACATCATCCCTGTCTCACTGGTATTAATATTGGCTTTGGAAACAAAAACCACATAGCAATCATTCTGAACATACTACTTCACTGCTATCAAATCCTAGTTTCTACTAAGCAACAGTTTTTTCTTGTTTCTCTCAGTCTCTCATTTTTTGTCCTCATTTTTCTATCATACAAAGTATTAGTAAAATTATTTTACCCCATACAACTAAGCTGCACACACAAGGGCTGGCCAAATAGCTCAGCAGATTAAAGCACCTGCAAGTAGGCTCAGGGGCTGGGGTTTCAATCTCTGGGCCTGCCGTGCCGGCCCTGCCCCTGTGGTACACTGAGAAGGCAATTGAGACTGGGCATGGTGATGAACGCCTGAAATCTCAGCTCTTGGGAGGCTGTAAACAGGCTGATCACTGAGATCGATTTAGTAGTGAGACCCTGAACACCCTGTAGACCCTTCCCTGAAAAATAAAAAAAAATATATATAAAAAAAAACCTAAGCAGCACAAACTGAGCCCCACACACACATGCACAAACACACACACATACACACACCCACACACACACACAGAGGGACTGAACACTGGGCCTTTACACTGAGCTAGCTTTCCAGCTCTTCTTTCCCCTTTCTTCCCTTTGTTATTTTGAGACAGGGTCTCAAATTAAACTAAGTCATTAAGTGCCCAGACTGCACTGAAATTTGCAATCCTCCTGCTTCAAGCACAACTTGCATAGTACTAAGTAAAATGTCAGGACCCTTAAAGGCAAAGAGACTGAAGGAAAGCCACAGATTACAGGAGAACAAAGGACCAGAATACCTATATGGAATACAGGACCCCAGATTAGATAGGGGGTGAGAAAGGGTCAAAGGAAAACATAGGACCTTGGAGAACAATTGGTGAAAAGTGAATACAAGCTATAAATGATCAATGTTAGTTTCCTATGACCACTGTGCCATAGTTATATAACAAAATGGTCTCAGTTTTATGGTATATACTTTAAATGTTCAGAAAAGAAAAACAATGAATGTTTTTATGAATAGTAAATCATATTAAAATAATGTAATTATGTGGGTAATCTGGGTTTGAAAGTATAAGAGAAGTGTCTATTCTATTCTTGGAACATTTTCCTAAGTCGAAAATTACTTCAAAATAAAAGTTAAAATTCTGAGCTGGGCATGGCAGCACTTTTTTTTTTTTTTTTTTTTTTTTTAAAGCACAGTCCTATAATCCCAGCAGTCAGGAGATTGAGGCAAAAGGACTGCTGCAAGTTCAAGGCCAGTCTGGGATACACAGAGAGATCCTATCTCAGCCCCTCTCAAAAAAGAGTTAAATTTTGATTCTTTACAGATACATATGTTTATTTACAAAGAATATACATGTAGAAGTATTTATGTATACATCACACAAAATGGTAATCTGAAAGAATGAGATAAATACTATAAGGCAAGTTCTATCACATTTGTATTCTGAAATACTATGTACATTACATTCCCTTAGTCAATTTGACTATAACTGAATACTAAAGCTGACACAAAAACATCTTTCTGATACTATTTAGAAGTGTCCTACTATTTTTGACTATCTTTCCATCCCTTCTGATAAAATTTAGAATCATCCAATATATCCTATGGAAAACCTTGCTGATATTATGATTTGAACTTCACTGGTCCATATAGATCAACCATGGAGGAATATTTCTATGATACAAAGTCCTCCTTTCTAAAAACTTGGCATATTTCTCCACTTTAAGGTTTTCTTTATATTTCTCTTCAAAGTTTTATGGGGTTTTTTCAGAGTTTCTAAATACCTTTCATTAGATTTATTTTTATATTTTTTCTGATACAATTTAAGATGAAGTTTCCTTAACTGATTGCTTACTTGGCTATGTTACTATGGAAATGATTTCTGTATATCAATTTTAAATGTAACAACATGGTTAACTTTATTTTTAATAATGTATTGACAAATTATTTTTGTTTTCTCTACATAAATAATTATAGGATCAGTAATTATGGAACAATTAACTTCCCCTTTCTAATTCTTCTGCCTCTGTTAACTGTTTCATTCTTGACTAGGCCACCAATCCAAGTTTAAATATAAGTTCTAGGGGCTGGAGAGATGGCTCAGTGGTCTAAAGCACCTACTTAGAACAAGCTTAGCTAAAGCATCGGGGACCGCGGTTCAATCCCCCAGCACCACATGCCAGCCAGCCTCGCCCCCTGGTGGGCTGAGCTGGCCACACACACACACCACACACACACACACTCTCTCTCTCTCTCTCTCTCTCTCAAATAAATAAAAAATTAAAAAAAAAAATAAATAAATATAAGTTCTAAAACAAGCAAGTCTAATTTTTTAATAGCTTCTTTCAACATCATTCAATGTAAGATTTTGCTTGCTAAAGCTTTTATAGATGCTCTATCTAGCTAGGAAAATTTCCATCTATTTCTAATTTATTTTTTTTTCTACAGTTTTATTGATAAACATATAGCAATGAGACAGTTTCAAATCAAATCGGAAGTACAGTTTCAACAAATAATACACTG